TTAAATATGACAACACTGATTGTCCTTTCTTGGTCATTGCTATTTTGGTGTGTGAACTATTTATACTGAAGCTTCCATTACATAATTATCTCTAGACTTTCACCTTATCCTTCATACACTGTGCTTAGATATCACACTATGCCTCTCTAAGAATTGGTGATTTAATCTTATATAACATATGTGCTTCTCATTTGAAGTAGCAGAGAGAGCCAGGAATATGACATCTTGATTTTATTGGTTAAAAACATGTGCTACGTTGGAGGAAATTCACTCTAATGGTTTAAATTTCACCTTAAGCTTAAGGGCATATGAAGGTCTGAGTAGCATGTTATTCAGGCCATTTTTGGGCACAGAATTCATGTTTTAAGATGTTTACTATGCTCAGCTTTTGTTAGGCTTTTTTTTGTGTATGTTACAGAAGGGTAGGGAATAGGCAGTCATACAGGCTGTCCCTGGCTGCAGTCTTGGAGCTAATCAGTGACTGATGACCTGCAGGGAGCAGAGAGGATATAATCATGTAAGTGGCATAATTGGATAGAACATAGGTTGATGAATCCAGTGGTGAGGCAAGGGCACAGCTAAATACTCACTGGAGGGGGAAGTAACTGCTCATCCACTGGATTTTTCTCCTTTTAAAGGAGGGGGATTTGCATTCTCTATGGCCCATCAACCACAGCCAGTGGTTCTATTGCTGTCTAACTATAATATGATTTTGGCATACATTTTGGAATTGGTCTGCGCTGACATAGTCCTTGTGATCTTGCATGTAGGCCTGGCAGAATCCCAGACTGACTATGGCTATGCGCAAAGAGGATTGCTTATAAAGCTTTTAACGTAGCTGCTTACCCATGAAAAATCCTCTCCAATGCTAGCACTTCAGATGCTGGCACTGTTGTATCAGTGCCTAAGCACCTGTGTGTTCCTGCTTCAGTCTGGCCAAATTAAAGGAAAGGTATCCCTTGCTTGACACACATAAACCATGTTTTTTTCCTGACCACCTACTAAAGACAATTTTTTTTCCATCTTCTTCTTGAAGAAGCACATCCCTTGGGAATAAAACACATTTACAAAGAAATAGAATACTGAAGAGGTGATCAGCTTTCTTGATTGTACGAAAGCTGAGAAGCATCAGATAGGTGCCGTATGTCTTGAAAAGCAGTGGAATGTCAGAGCCTTGGGAGTAATTTACAGGCATGAGACTGCAATTCTAGAGACTTATTAGGAATTACCACGAGCCTTGGTGTAATTGCACAGAGCACTGGAATTCTACACTGGCCCCCAAGAATTCACTTGAGAATCAAAGTCTGAGCAAGTCCTGCTGTTGGTTAAGTACAACAATCAGACTGAGGTTCTTCTAGTATGTATCGATGATCATTCTATGTAGAAGGATATAGGAATGTACAGGTAACAGCAACATGGGCTTTTAGCTCATTTCTTATGAATATTCAACATCATGGTGGGATTAGCTGTGGAGCTGCAAGTATATTCCTTTTATTCCTCTCTTCTTCCTATCTTCTCTCCTCTCTGGATTTTGAGCATCTTAGCAGGAAGAAGGATTGAGACTTAGCAAACCTGGTATATCCAAATTATGGACTCTAAGTAGAAAGCAAAAAGGGGAAATGAAATTCTGAAAACACCCAACCTATGCCATCTTCCTGATCTTATCTAAACCCCGATAAAAGACTCTCTCCATCTCTCCTGGAAGTGATACCATGGTAGACTATGAAATGAGTGTTTGAGGTATGTATTTCCCATCCCCTTGATGTTTATCACACTGCCATATGCACGGCTGATGCTCTGAAGGTCAAGCTGGGTTAGTGAAGCTATTCGTTAAGACATGTGCCAGCATACTTTAATTCTAACTGACTTTAATCTGATTAAAGTTTAGCCAGTAACTTCGATGAAATTGCTCTGACTTATAGCTGTTGAGGGTCAAGGCAATGCCATAGGTTACAGTGTACTGTCCCAGAGGTGGGGCGCAGCTGTCTTTTGCTTTCAGACTGAACAATTGGTTTGTGTTGCTTTGCACTTTGTAGTGGAACTCCTCAGAGAAAAGGGACTAGAAAGTGACTTTTCAAAAGCAAATGAAAATTGAGTATGATTCAGGCTATGTGGTCTGGGGAAAGATCAGGGGAACAGGGGAATTTTGTCCAATTCCACTTATGTCCCATTATTATACACTGTACAGAAGGCTAATGATGATCTATATTGTCATACACCCGAATCAGAGTTTAATTATTAATACCAGATAGCTAAATTTTGGGGATACACAATAACTGCCCTTCAGGGGGCAATATTCCCAGTTCTATTCTGGCAATGGTAATTCTAAGTTAAGATATATTTCTAGAACACTTTTGTTATTGGACTTTTTCTATAAACGTGATTGCTTCTAATTAGAAATTATTGGTTTAAATCTACTCCACATGGTCTTTCCTTTTAAGCAAGAAAATTAAACAGTGAATCTTCTCATCTGTCAATTTCTGTAAGCCCTGCTCCCGCCCCACTTTTCCCCAATCACACACAGCAGTGGAGGTTCCCAGATTATTATAATCTTTTATAGCACTCTCACATTCTGTTCTCTGAAATGTAATAAAAAGAGTTGTACTTGGCCATTCATCAAAATGTAGCAATTCCATAAGGTATCAGCAGATGCTAAATACCAGTGCTCTGCAGGTGAATGCACCAAAGAGAAGTTCATGGACTCAAGTCTCATGTATTGCAAGGGTTTAATCCAACACACTTGTACTCTCAAATGGTTGAAATAAGCCTCAGGATATGAGCAGGCTGGAGTTCAAAGTAATTTCTACCCCTGTGTGGTTGTGGTAGAGCTGTGTGTGATAGGTATTCATATTAGAAAGCTTAAATCCATTGGGAGATATTTTAGGCAGAACTGCTTTAGCAGGAAATAAACCATCCATGTCCATACATCATGTATGCATGTGTATATAGGTTCATGCACATGTACTTGTATGATTTGCTTTGCTTTACGATGAGACCATACACTGTTTCTCCAAGTATATTATGCCATTGGATGTGTATTACCCATTTACATTTCATCAAAGCTTTTCAGGCATGTCTTTGTCCAAAACATCCTGACAAATATAGCAAATAATAGCTATCTCAGCAGCAATGTATGTATATTGCTGTCTGCCTGATGCTCTTCCCCTCCACCCCGGTTATCTTGATAAAGGGGTTGTTCAGGAGCCTAGCCTTCATTTCTCCCCCAACAGCAAAAACTGCATGCACAACAAGCAGCAGACTGAAAAATTATGTTCACGCCTTGACCTTGAGACTTCCTGAACCAGTTTGGATTGGCTCTCCCTTTGAAACAACAGGCTTCCACAGGAAGTTCATAAATGGGCCCAAGTCACAGCAATTGACGTAGTTTTAATATTTTTAACTTGCTTCTTCAAGAACCTACCTAAAATGGGCGGCGTTTCATGGACACAAAGAATTGGCCAGCTTTTCCAAGAGCAAACGTCAGCGTGCTGGGCGCAAGGCAACCCGTTGAAAGCAGTGTGACTAATGGGCCATCAGGCCCTGCTAATGCAGCTTCTGCTGAGCACTGCTCGGGGGATGTGGCTGTGTGTGTTGTGAAGCTGCACTGTACTCCACCATGTCCCAGTGTCAGCACCACTGGGGCTCCCAACACTGTAGGCAGCCAACATCTCCAAAGAGCTAAACCACAGGCCTGTGTCCAAGACCTCAGCTTCAGACACGTTTGGATCCACAGCTTAAGCATTGATGCAATCTCCTTCCCCATGTCGTACTCACCTCCCCCACCCCTGCCAATTCTCGCCTCTCTGAGAAAGACAGAGCACAGTACATCATTCTTGTCTTAGAAATGGTTTGCAAGACTCGTTCAGAGATGTTAAAGAAAAGTTCTTTTACTCCCCAAGTCTGAAATATGGAAAGACGGATGTGTGAAATGTCCATGGTTTGTTCCATTCACAATGACAGGGAAGAGGACCAGAAAAAATAAATGTTGCAAAGAAACAGGAGTATTAAATCTTTAGATGGAGAATGATAGATGAAAATGGACATGAAAACCTTGCCTTTAAGATGCTTATCTTTTTCATACAGCTCTAACAAAATGCCACTGCATTAAAGACATTCCTTTTCATCCATTTGCTTTGCACCTTGTTTTCTCATTACCTGTTTAACATGAACTTAATGGAAAACACTCTTCTTATTTACATCTCTGCACTCCACTGATAGTATGCTATAATCTGACAACAGATTCAAATTCAAATTCAAAAATCTAGAGTGCATTGCCTCTATGTAACTACGAAATGGACATTTTCTTGTTTGCAGATAATCTGCTGGAATGGGATGAAAGATTGTTATTAATGTTAGCAATGCATATGATTTCAGACAGAGCTATTTAATTCATTTATAAATCAGCAGCTCTGTCAAAGGGCCATAATGACAGACTTTAAAGCAACTTTTAAAATTAATTGTCTAGTGTGATTAGTTCATGATTTGGGATTTTCTGGTGTATACTTAACTGATGTACTTTGAAAGATAATTTTTTTATATACATATATATATATAGTTGCTTTGAGAAATTGACAGAAATGAAAAAGTGAAGCAGGACCCCTTCCAGCAAATAGGCTCTCTTTTCATTCAGTCAAGAAGTCAGAAACCTTTCTTACTGAAGAACAAAGCAAGGTCTCCGTGCCCCCCCCAAGCCACAAAAATTCGATCCATTGGATAAACCAAATATTTCTAAATGTTCTTTGGTCTATATCTGTAAACCATAGGATCCAGATCCACTGGACTTGCTAGTATACATTTACAAGGTAAAGAGTTAATTTGGTGTCTTTTTTTTTTCACTGATAAAGGCTTATCTTGTTATTCTTCCAATCTTTCTTGTAAGCATTTCCTGAGAGGGGGTATAAGCCAAGTAACATGGAGGATCTGCCTACGACACCTAGCAGGGGAGGCCTTGCCTGTTTGGCCAAGGCTAGCAGGTCTTACATAATAATTTATTACAGTACCTTTCTGTTTCCTGGTCTGTGGTTTGCTGCTTGTTCTCAAAGCCAGTGAAGCTGCTCATATCCACATAGCCGTCATTCTCATTAGCAGCAGATAATGCCCTGCTGGGATCTTCAAAAAACTCAGTAAAAGTTCCTGCTCTGGTGGATCTTCGAGGAGGAATTTGTATGTTTTCATA